GATCGAGACCATCCTGGTCAACATGGTGAAACCCTGTCTCTACTAAAAATACAAAAAATTAGCTGCGCATGGTGGCGCGTGCCTGTAATCCCAGCTACTCAGGAGGCTGAGGCAGGAGAATTGCCTGAACCCAGGAGGCGGAGGTTGTGGTGAGCCGAGATCGTGCCATTGCACTCAGGCCTGGGTAACAAGAGCGAAACTCCGTCTCAAAAAAAAAAAAAAAAAAAAAAAAAAAAAAATCCTTCCCATCTGGAGAACACAAACATATTTTCCTATGCTTTCTTCTAAAAATAAGAGTTTCACATTTAACATTTAGGTATTTAAACCATCTGGAAATTATTTTGGGCATGATGTGGGATTGTACTTACTTATTTTTCTATATGGGAAACCAATTTCCCATTATCCCATGGACCATCCTTTTACCAGGTAGCAAAATAGAAATACTTTGTTATTTTTTTTTTGCACAATGTTTTCAATTTAAAAGTTATTATAATAATTGTTTTGTTTGTTGGTTTGTTTCTTCATTTTCTACATATTACCTGTATAGCTATACCTAATTAAACACCGAATTCTATGCCAATTCAATAAATCTGCTCTCGAGGTATTCTAGAATCTTCTCGAGTGCTCTAGTTCAGACTGTTTGCCCTGTGCCTGGAGTCAGTAGTCAACCCTAGGATCTCCTTTCACCTATCCTGGGGATTCCCCTGCCTTTCTCCAGTGTGGGATTGACAGTTTCCCATGTCTTTCTCTCTCTCTCTCTTTTTCTTTGTTTAGAAGCAGAATGTCTGAAGTGATCCTATGTCTTTCTGTTTCTTGAGTTATTTCTTTTTTTGGTGAAGCACATTCTCAAGTAGTTTTCTGAGAATGGGACCATATGAATTAAATTCTCGAGGCCTTCAAGGTTCTACAATTTTTCCTCAACTTATTTAGATGTGGAATTTTTAAAAAAGTTATCCTCTTGAGACTTTCACTTCCTGAATCTAAGTATTCATGTCTTTCATATATATATGTATGTGTATGTATATATACACATATATTTAAATTCTGAATAATTCTTAACCTCATCTCTTCAAATATGGCCTCTCCTCACTCTTTCCATCCTTGCCATCAGAACTCCTGTTTGTTACATGGAACTTTTTCTTTCGATATTCGTATCCCTTAAATTCTCTCTCATATTTTCCATGTTCTTCTATGTTTAGGAGTCTGAATAATTTCTTCAGCTCTATCTGCCCCTTTACTAGTTCTCTTTCCTAAACATTTGTTTAATCTATTCAGTTTTTAATTTTGAAGACCAAATTTTTAATTTCTGTAAATTCTATTTTGGTACTTTTTTTTTTTTTTTTTTTGAGACAGGGTCTCGCTCTGTCACCCAAGTGCAGTGGTGCAATCTTGGCTCACTGCAACTTCCACCTCCTGGGCTCAAGTGATCCTCCCACTTCAGCCTCCTGAGCAGCTGGGACCATAGGCATGTGCCACCATGTCTGACTAATTTTTAAAAAGTTTTTTTTTTTCTGGCTGGGCACACTGGCTCTCGACTGTAATCCCAGCACTTTGAGAGGCCTCTCAAAGTGGATCACCTGAGGTCAGGAGTTCGAGACCAGCCTGACCAACATGGAAAAACCCCATCTCTACTAAAAATACAAAATTAGCCAGGCATGGTGGCTCATGCCTGTAATCCCAGCTACTCCAGAGGCTGAGGCAGGAGAATTGCTTGAACCCAGGAAGCGGAGGTTGTGGTGAGCCGAGATCTTGCCATTGTACTCCAACCTGGGCAACAAAAGTGAAACTCCATTTCGAAAAACAAGAAAAAATTTTATTTTGTAGAGATGAAGTCTCACTATGTTGCCCAGGCTGGTCTTGAACTCCTGGGCTCAAGCAAGCCTCTTGCCTTGGCCTCCCAAAATTCTGGGATTACAGACGTGAGCCACTGCGCCCAGCCCTATCTGATACTTGTAAAACATTATACAGGTCTCCATTTTTTTGTCCTAGCATCTTTCCTCTTTCCTCATTTCTCTTTCGGCCTGTATCTGATTGGTTGGTTATCTGGTACTCTTGGGGTCTACTCCTGCTCTTGTTATTTCTGCCGGTACTCACAGGGGCATTCTTATAATTTTTGATTCCAAACTTATCTTCAGGACATGGTTCTCTGTGGCCTAGATTAAAGACGTGTCTTTCTGGAAACATTTTATTTCATTATGGCCACTCAGAATCCAGAATTTCTTTTTGTGTAAATTTCTCAGCTTTGGGCCACTTGGACCACATGTGTAGCGTTGATTTGAACCTCAACCCAGTGAAGGCAGGTCTGTTGTTATGAATTTGTGTTATGAAGATCTTTTTTCCTCACCCAGAACCCAAGCCAGGATGAATTGTATTCGTCATCTTCTGTGCGGATGGCTGCATGTTTTTTTTTTCCTGATCCACCATTTCACTGAAGTCCTTGTTGGGGGAGGGGACAGTTCTGTGAAGGAGCTTGTCTCCTGTTCCTGCCTGGGCACTAATGCCCAAGTCTCTGGTTCACTGAGCTTCAGATGCTCTCTCCCCTGCCCACCCTCTACTTTGGGCCACAGCTGCATCAGCTCAGCTGCTCCCCACCCTAGTTTTCAATTCCCTGTTTGAGGGCCCTAGTGATTTCTTTTCCTCTCTTACAAGCTCTGACATGCAATTAAATGGAGTTTATTATAGCTGATTTAGCATTCCTGTGTTTTGTGGTAGGAAAGTTTTCAGATAATCTTGTCCATGGTATTGCCCTTGACACTGTATTATTATTATTATTATTATTATTTTTTGAGACGGAGTTTTGCTCTTGTTACCCAGGCTGGAGTGCAATGGCGCGATCTCGGCTCACCGCAACCTCCGCCCCCTGGGTTCAGGCAATTCTCCTGCCTCAGCCTCCTGAGTAGCTGGGATTACAGGCACGCGCCACCATGCCCAGCTAATTTTTTTTGCACCTTTAGTAGAGACGGGGTTTCACCATGTTGACCAGGATGGTCTCGATCTCTTGACCTCGTGATCCACCCGCCTCAGCCTCCCAAAGTGCTGGGATTACAGGCTTGAGCCACCGCGCCCGGCTGACACTTTATTATTATTACTACTTTTTTGAGATAGAGTCTTGCTCTGTCCCCCAGGCTGGAGTGCAGTGGCACGATCTCAGCTCATTGCAACCTCCACCTCCTGGGTTCAAGCGATTCTTCCGCTTCAGCCTTCCAAGTAGCTGGCATTACAGGTGTGTGCCACCACAACCAGCTAAGTTTTGTATTTTCAGTAGAGATGGGGTACCACGCTGGTCTTGAACTCCCGACCTCAGGTGATCCACCCACCTCGGCCTCTCAAAATGATGATATTACAGGCATGAGCCACCATTCCCGGCCTGTTGATACTTTAAAAGTTAGAGATAAAGGATTGTAGGAGTTTCAGAGAAGAAAAGTGGAGCTGGTGTGGGAGTGAGGAAATGAGGGGAGGATCAAGAGCGGCCTTAAAAAAGTGACTGTTAGGGGACAGGAACACAGGAAGGGGCACAGCAGGTACAAAAGCAGGAAATGCCAATGCAGGTATGGAGAAGAGCACTCAACTCTCCGCTGCAGTACAACCTGTGAAGGGGAAATGAAGTTGGAGCCTGGGGTACAGTCTGTGAAGGGGAAATGAGGTTGGAATCAGATCACTGAGCAGCAGGAAGCCACTAAAGTCTTACTCCGCATACCATGATCACAAGCTTTGTTTCAGGGAGTTTAAACTGGAAGGATGTCCAAGAAGAACGGGTGTGGGGGTGGCAGGAGAGGAGTGTGGATTTGGAAGGACGGCTCTGGAGGCTCTGGAAATAGTCCAGGCGATGGGTAGTAAGGCCTGAATGGGGTAGCTGGTGGGGTGGGGTGTAGGGGGACCACTGGGAGAGGGTGAAAGAGATTCAGCTGCACCAGATAAAGAAATCTAGGTCAAGAGCTGAATTGGAAATAGAAGAAAAGCCAGGCAAGCACATTGTCTGAGTCCTGGGAAATGAATTTAAAATGTCAAAAATTATTAGCTGGGCATGGTGGCATGTGCCTGTAATCCCAGCTACTCAGGAGGCTGAGGCAGGAGAATTGCCTGAACCCAGGAGGCGGAGGTTGCGGTGAGCCGAGATCGCGCCATTGCACTCCAGCCTGGGCAACAAGAGCGAAACTCTGTCTCAAAAAAATAAATAAATAAATAAAATGTCAAAAATTATTTATTTTTTTCTTTTGTTTTCAAACAGAGTCTGGCTCTGTCACCCAGGCTGGAGTGCAGTGGTGTGATCTTGGCTCACTGCAACCTCTGGCTCCCAGGTTCAAGTGATTCTCCTGCCTCAGTGTACCCAAGTAACTGGGACCACAGGTGCCTGCTACCATGCCTGGCTAATTGTGTGTGTGTGTGTGTGTGTGTGTGTGTGTGTGTGTGTGTGTGTTGGAGTCTTGCTCTGTCACTCAGACTGGAGTGCAGTGACATGATCTTGGCTCACTGCAATCTCCGCCTCTTGGGTTCAAGCAATTCTCCTGCCTCAGCCTTGCACACCACCACTCCCAGCTAATTTTTGTATTTTTCAGTAGAGACGGCGTATTACCATGTTGGCCAGGATGGTCTTGATCTCTTGATCTTGTGATCCGCCCGCCTCGGCCTCCCAAAGTGCTGGAATTATAGGCGTGAGCCACCGCGCCCAGCCATTTTTGTATTTTTAGTAGAGACAGGATTTCACCATGTTGGCCAGGCTGGTCTTGAACTCTGGACCTCAGGTGATCCATCCACCTTGGCCTCTCAAAGTGCTGGGATTACAGGTGTGAGCCGCCACCTAAAATGTCAAGAATTATCAGAGCTGTTACCTACCTTTCAATATTGTTCAGATATTGCCTACAAATGCTAATAAACAGTTCATTTGACTCTGTTTGCAGCTCACGATATTTTTAGGCTTCTTGATGAGTAATTGTCATTGAATTAAAGACAGCATGTCCCAACAAATCTTCAATGAGTAGGGATGGTTTTGCTTTTCCTAGAACTTGCTGACATGGCCAAGCATGGAGCCGACGAGCCATCCTCCAGGTCAGGGAGTCCGGACAGGGAAGACAGGGTCTCTGAGGACAGATCACTGCTTCATCAGAGGCTGGCTGTCCAGGAGCTCATCAACACCGAGGTCTCCTACGTGCACATGCTCCATCTCTGTGCCTCTGACATCCGGAGCCGCCTCCAGCAGGTACTTGGGCGGGGGTCACATACAGCCTGTCTTTATAGGGGCACACGTGGGTCTCAGCTTCTGAGACTTCCCATCCATTCCTGGGGCAAGCTTGATAGAAAGGAAGCATGGTGTTTGTGAAGTCCGACAGACCTGGATGTAAACTCCAGTGCCATCATTCATTGGCCATGCAGCCTCCAACAAGGCCTTCCATGGCTTAGAGCAGGCATCCCCAATCTACGGCCCGCGGGCCGCATGCGGCCCCCTGAGGCCATTTATCCGGCCCCCCGCCGCACTTCGGGAAGGGGCACCTCTTTCATTGGTGGTCAGTGAGAGGAGCACAGTCTGTGGCGGCCCTCCAACGGTCTGAGGGACAGTGAACTGGTCCCCTGTGTAAAAAGTTTGGGGACGCCTGGCTTAGAGTCTTAGTGTGTTCCTCGGCTAACTGGGGAGAGGAATAATCACCTGGGAGAACTATGTGAGCTAATGAACAAGCCTGTTTCAAGTTTGAAATAGATGGCTTAAACTGACCTGTATTCTTCTTCTTCTCTTCTCCTCCTCCTCCTTCTTTTTCTTCTTCTTCCTTTTCCTGCTTCCCCTTCAAGGGTCTCTTTATTCAGTCTACAAAATCACTGTCAGCAACTTGGCCTGGCTCTCTGTGGCTTCCAACAAGGAAATGCTTAAAAGTCAGGAAATGCATTTGGTGCCTCTCCTGGTACCAAAAATTGACTACAACCTCTTTGGGCACCCTGAAATAATAGCATTTGCTTTTTTTTTTTTTTAAACTTTTCTACCAGAATTTCAAAAAAAAAAAATCTATTATATACGTGTATATGTATATATATATATATGTATATATAAACTATATTTATAGACACACATACATATACAGAGAGATCCTTCAACCAAGAAGAGGAAAGGGATCCAGCATCCTCTGGGGTGCCCCTTGGCCTGGTGCAGGAAGACCAGGAGGCACTAGCTGTCTTGGGCATCATCTCGAGATGTGTGGTGCTGAGCTGATGTGGCATGGATGAGGGGGGGGTCTCCAACAGCCCTCACCCTCTAAAGAAGGTGGGGCTACGACAAACCAGGGCAGCCCTCACTCAAGCTTTCTATACATCCTAAAATGCAAGCTGTACCTGATGGAGCCTTGAACTCAAACTCAAAGTGCAGATACAACAGGATTCCCTGCTAGGCCTCTGGGGGACTGACTCCTTAGGAAAGAGTTCCAAGAGGGTCAAGCTGCAGGAGCTGGAGAAGCCAGCAGGGAGGACATATGCCTACAGCACCCAGGCCCAGAAGATGGGTGTCATGGACACAGAGGCCTGCTCAGCCACAGGAAAGGGGCTGGGCTCTGTCCCCTCTTCGGGTCTCCAACCACAGCCCCTGCAGACCTTCAGGCAGGGGAGCCCAAAAGGCCAGGGCGAGGCTCCAATTACCCAGGAAAGCTGGAGGCAAACTTTTTTTTTTTTTATTTTTTTTTTAAAGAGGCAAGGTCTCACTGCATTGCCCAGTCTGGTCTCAAACTTCCAGGCTCAAGTGATCCTCCCATCTCAGCCTCCCAAGGCAGACTCCTGATTAGCTAGTATTACAAGCACGTGCCACCACACCCAGCCATGACCTGCATTCTAATTGTCTTATTTTCAGGGTGGTGACATGGAGAAATTATCGCTATGAGGGTTTCTATTACAGTGCTTGCTTTTTATATTTTCTTTTTTTGGTTTTAGAAATCATGCAGGCTCTTGCTCGCTACATTTCAAGCATCTGCTCACATTTGAGTTCCATTAGGGCAAAGATTCTCTTTAGTTCAGTATATCCCAGTCATGAAAGATAAATAATGGACTTAAAAATTAGTCTTTCTTCAATGAACGAAATACCAAAGTAGATAATGTAGAAAGTGGAGTACTTGTTTTATTTTACCCTCCAGAAATTACAATTTTTCTCTGTAGGCATTAAACAAACAAATACAGTCATATTTCACATAACACCAGGGATGTGTTTTGAGAAATGCATAGTTAGGCAATTTCATCATGTGCAAAGGTCATAGAGTGTACTTACACAAACCTAGATGGGATAGCCAACGACACACCCAGGCTGGATGATATGGCCCATTGCTCCTAGGCTATAAATCTGTACAGCATGTCACTGTCTTGAATACTAAGGCAACAGCAACACAATAGTATTTGTGTATCTAAATACAGAAAAGGTAGAGTGAAAATATGATACTGTAATCCTATGAGGTCACCCTGGTTTATGCAGTCCATCATTGATCAAAATGTTATTATGCAGTACATGACTATATATGTTTTTATTTATTTATTTTTTGAGACGGAGTTTCACTCTTGTCACCCAGGCTGGAGTGCAATGGCTCGATCTCGGCTCACTGCAACCTCCGCCTCATGGGTTCAAGCAATTCTCCTGCCTCAGCCTCCCGAATAGCTGGAACTACAGGCATGTACCACCATGCCCAGCTAATTTTTGTATTTTTAGTAGAGACGGGGTTTCACCATGTTAACCAGGATGGTCTCGATCTCTTGACCTTGTGATCCACCCGCCTCAGCCTCCCAAAGTGCTGGGATTATGGGCGTGAGCCATAATCCGCGCCCGGCTTGTTGTTATTTATTTTAACAAAAACAAGAGTATACTCTAGATATTGTTCTGCAGTTAGCTTTCCCACTTGTGCGTCCAGCCCATCCTTCCATGCTTGTGTATTTATATAGATGTCTTGCATCTTTTTAAACAGTGGTATATACCAGGTATATAGCCTGGTTAATAGAAGCTGGGGAATGCATCTTGAGGTCATGGTGGTTGGTGCCAAGTATGTCAGCGCTGGAAAGAAGTCTAACTTCTCACCCTCAGATGACAGATGGGGAAACTGAGAGAAGATAGCTGGCAGCAGACCTAGGCTAGAACTCTGGTTCAGCTTTCCTTCCACACTGAGTACTCCATCTCTTCCTCTCTTCTTGTAGAGTAATGAAAATACCTAATTTATAGCATTTCAAAATCCTTGCAAAATTCCACTGGGGCAGCCAGTCTTCTCCAGAGTGATGGGAATGGTGTGAGTGTTCTGTTCTACTCTTGAAAGCCTGCAAATATACTCCATGGAACTCCCAAAGACCACCCATGGCTTCTTTGTTCCTTCCAGTTGCCGCAGGGAGATCTGGATGTCCTGTTCTCAAACATTGATGATATCATCAAAGTGAACAGCAGATTCCTTCATGATCTGCAGGAGACAGCCTCCAAGAAAGAGGAACAAGTGCAGCTAGTTGGTAAGCAAAAATACCTACAGAATTGTCAGCCTTAGAATTGTTCTCAGTGAGTGGTCCCTGTTTAACTGTCTCCAGAGTTCCAGGGAAATGCAGCTCAATGGCAGTCTGTTTTGGGGATCTCCAAAACACAATATAACAGAGCCAGCAGGGCCCTCACATAACATCTAGTCCAGTCCCATTGCTTTACAGACAGAGACTGAGCCCCAGAGACAGACAGGAACATACTCACAGTCACATAATTGTTAATGATGCAGCTAAATCTTTAGTCTGTGTCTCTTTTACATTCATTCATCCAATAGTTATTTACTGAGCAATTGCAGTGTGCAGTCACAGGTTCAACAAGAGAGCCTGAGCTTCTATTCTCATGGGGTTGACAAGTTAGTGAGAGAAACAGAAGATAGACAACAGAACTGTAGGTAATAATTTGTAATTTGAAGGAAATAAATAGTTGTGGTAACTTCTGGGTATGAGGGAAGGTCTCTGGAGGAGGGAACATATGAGCTGAGATCTGAGTGTCAGAAAGGAGTTAGCCATGAGACTATCTGGAGGGAGACCAGAGAGCATAGTTGTGCAAGGGCCCTGAGGCAAGGATGAGTTGAGAATGTTTAAAGGACAGACAGAAGGTTGATGTGGCTCCAGGGAAATTAGTGAGGGGAGACTGTTAGGGGATAAGACAGAAGAGGCACACAAAGACCAGATCATGCACAGCTTTATAGGATGGCAAGGAGTCTGGAGTTATTCTAACTGTGATAATGAGCCTTGGACAGTTTTGAGTGAGGAAGTGACATGGTTTGATTTATGTTTTTCAAAGATCTCTTTGGCTGTTGTGGACAGTGGATTATGAGGGGGTGGTAAGAATGGAAGCGGTGACACTAGCTGGGGGCTTTACTGTGGCCCAGATGAGAAATGAGGAGAGTCTCCTTTCAATTTTTTTTTTTTTTGAGATGAGATCTCAATCTGTTGCCCAGGCTAGAGTGCAATGGAAAAATCATGGCTCACTGCAGCCTCTACCTTCCAGCCTCAAGGATCCTCCTGCCTCAGCCTCCCAAGGAGGATAGTCTCCTCATTCTGAAACGGTTAGGATGACCAGAGCAGAAAAAAGGGAGGAGTGGGTGCAAACCTGATACCTATCTCCTTCTGTCTCATCCCATCTGCTGCCAGGATTCTCACGGTGTGAGGTTCCCTAGTGGAGTCAGGAGATAAAGGTGAATGGGTGGGTGCCAGATTCACTACAGTGGCAGGGAGGAGGAAATGAAGGTACCCAGCGCTGTGGCCACCCAAGTCCCCCTGGCTTTTACACCACCAATCTTCTACCCTATCCTGGACATGAATTATGAGGGTGGGGATTAAAAATAACAAATATGCAAACAAATATATATACATATTTTTTTGAGATGGAGTCTCGCTCTGTCACCCAGGCTAGAATGCAATGGCACTGTCTCGGCTCACTGGAATCTGTGCCTCCTGGGTTCAAGCGATTCTCCTGCCTCCTGAATAGCTGGGATTATAGGTGCCTGCCACCATGCCCGGTTAATTTTTATATTTTTAGTAGAGATGGGGTTTCACCATGTTGGCCATGCTAGTCTTGAACTCCTGACCTCAGATGATCCTCCTGCCTCGGCCTCCCAAAATGCTGGGATTACAAGCGTAAGCCACTGCGCCTGGCCTAAATATACAAACAAATCTTAAAAACTTACTTTCTGAATGTTTACAAAATGCTAACCACTGTTCTTATACACATATATTAATTCACTTCATCTCAAAATAACCCTGAAAGGTAGATACCATTATCTCATTTTACAGTTGAGGAATCTTTGGTACAGAGAGAGGCAATAACCTGCTTAAAGTTAGGCACCTAGGGCAGAGCCAGGATTTGAATGCAGGTGGTTGGCCTTAAGAGTCAAGGCTCTCAGTTGCTACATTGAATTACTTCTGCATGGTAGAAGGTGAGAATAAAGCCTGTGTGTATTGTATGTTTATCATTCCTTTGAAACTATAGCTCTTTATTAAAATAGCAATGTGAGTGAGTTACTATTCCCTGTAAATGACAAAGGAGTGCAAAATTAAAGAATAAGATTTTTTTTTTTTTTTTTTTACCGAAATAAGATTGTTTTATTCCAATTCTGAAGCACAACAGTCTAAACAATTCCAAACAAGAATAAGATTTTAAAAAGTACCTGTAGGTCAGGCATGGTGGCTCACGCCTGTAATTCCTGCACTTTGGGAGGCCGAGGTGGGCAGATCACTTGAGGTCAGGAGTTCAAGACCACCCTGGCTAACATAATGAAATCCCGTCTCTACTAAAAATACAAAAATTAGCTAGGCATGGTGGCACACACTTGTAATCCTAGCTACTTGGGAGGCAGAGGCATGAGAATCTCTTGAACCCAGGAGGCAGAGGTTGCAGTGAGCTGAGGCAACTAATCTCATTAGTTTCTGATTTGAAAATATGAAACACTTCCCAAATTTGCATGTCATTTTTGCAGAGGTGCCATGCTAATCTCTATGTTGTTTCAACTTTGGTGTACATGATGCTGAAATTGAGCACCAGCATGATCCTTTTAAGCAGAAATCAGGTCATGTCACCGTTGTTCAAAGCCCTCCAGTTGCTTCCTGCCACCATTAGAATAAAACCTGAATCCCTTACTGCACTTAACTTATTTTGAGACCCTACATGATCTGGCTTCTGTTTCCTGCTTATTTCCTCGACTTTATTTTTATTTTATGTAATTAATTAATTTATTTTTTTGAGACAGAGTCTCACTCTGTTGCCCAGGCTGGTGTGCAGTGGTCTCAGCTCACTACAACCTCTGCCTCCCGGATTCAAGTGATTCTCCTGCCTCGGCCTCCTGAGTAGCTGGGATTACAGGTGCCTGCCACCACGCCCAGCCGTTACTTCTGGTCTCTGGTAGACATTCACATCTTCTGAGATGTCTTCCCCAAGTAGATCCCCTACCATTCTCTGACTCTTTATTTGGCTTCATTTTAATTCATGGCACTTATTATTCCTGACATATGTAATATATTTATTTATTGTCTGTCTTCCTCACCCCAGAATATAAACCTTATGGGCAGGAGCTTTCTTTTGTTGACAGAGCTTAGCAGAGTGCCTGGTACATAGACAATAAATAAGCAGTTGATGAATATCTGGTGAATATTTGCTGCTTCAGGATTGTATCTCTATCAGTGCCTATGTCAGATGCTTTACATGCATTATTTTATTTAGTCATTATCAAAAGCCCTTGGAGGTAAGTACTATTTTTATTCGCATTCTATAAATGAGAAAATAGAAACACTTGGCCCAGGTTACACAACTGAGGAAGGGTCGCTAGCGATCTGGCCCTGGTTCCCTCGAATACGAGCCCACACCGTAACCACCTGTGCATGCCTTTGTCAGTTGGGGATTTGTTGTTGTGCTTGCCACACATTTTGTCTTTAATTATAAAGATAAAACGAGCTAAGGGTCATGAGTGTGTTTTGTGTACTATAAAGCACTGTCCAAATATGAGCATTATTAATATTCCTGGTATGATGATAGCTACCATTTAGTAAGTGCTCACAATGTCCCAGCCTAAGCTATATATCATTCTGTCACTCAATCCTCAGAGCAACCTTGTGGAAAGATGAAAAAAACCAGAAAGTCAGGAAGATGAGGTCATTTGCCCATGGTAACATGCTGGTAAGCCCAGCGATCTCACTGGAGAGCTGGAGGGGTTTACTTACTGCCTCCCTGTTCCAAGCTAGGGGATGCACAGACATGCCCTTGATGACTCCTTGTTGCATGTTCACCCTCAGGTAACTTATTTCTGGAATTCCAAGAGGAGTTGGAGCAAGTCTATAAGATCTACTGTGTCAGCTACGACCAGGCCTTGCTATTGGTGGAGATGTACCGGAAAGAGCCGGAGCTGCAGCAGCATATCCAGGACATCATTAAGGCAGTGGTGTGAGTAGAACAGCCAGTGAGCACTCGCTCCTGCCCCACTGACCTGGGTCAGTGGCAGCTACAGTCTCACCCCGACTTCATGCCATTCATGCTGCTTCAGGAGTGTACCTCCATCAGCGCCTGTGTCAGTCAGGATAGGGCAGGTTGTGCTGCAGAGACAAACAGCTCCCACATCTCAGTGGTTTCAGACAACAAAGGTTTATGTCTTCCTTAGGCTCCACTGCAGGCTGACCTGGGGCTCTGCTCCTTGTCATCCTTACTCTGGGACCCAAACTCACAGTAGTCACTGTCTGGAATATTGCCAATAACTGTAGCTTAAGAAAAAAGAGCTCGGGAGAATCTAACACTGGCAATTGAATGCTCTGGTTCAGAAATAATATTCATCACTTCTCATAATTTATTGATCAAAACTACTCATAGCTTCCTTCAACACCCAGGAGGCAGGGCATGCCATCCTACTGCACGTCCAGGGTTGGAGAAGCAGAAAAATTTGGGAACAGTGCTCATGACTAGCACAGGAAAGGGCAGTGAGATAAGGGGACCTGTGTGTTCCCACAGTGATGGGAAGCAGGTATGTATCACCTGAGGGTCCCTCTCTACCAGTGGCTGAAGTCCTGCAACATGGAAAAGGGACAGTATCACCAGTCCCTGGTAGACTCGTAGCCTAGAAGTAGCACCAATGGGTAGAAGCCCCGGGTAGAAAAATGTAGAGAATATGTCTTTAAATTTAGATTTTTGAATAGGTAACATGATTACATGATTCAAAAACTTTAAAACATCAAAAATTTTATAATAAAAACAATCTTCCTAGTGCTGTCCCTTCATCTACCCAATTACTGCTTCCAGAGTTAAGGTAACCGCTTCCAAATTTCTTATGTATATCTTTGCAGAGTTTCTTTTTGCATATGCAAGCAATGATAAATATATATTCTTGGCCAGGTATGGTGGCTCATACCTGTAATCTCAGCACTTGGGGGGCCGAGGCAGGCAAATTGCTTCAGCTCAGGAATTTGAGACCAGTCTGGGCAACATGGCGAAAACTCAACTCTACAAAAAAAAAAAAAAAAAAATTAGCCTAGTGTGGTGGCATGCACCTTTAGTCCCAGCTACGTGGGAGGCTGAGGTGGGAATCTGGCTTAAGCCCAGAAGGCAGAGGCTGCAGTGAGCCGAGACTGTGCCACTGTACTCCAGCCTGGGTGACAGAGCCAGACCTTTTTTAAAAAAAAAAAAACCTAAAACTTCATATATATATATATATATATATATATATATATATATATATGTATATATATGCCTTTTAAATGAAAATAGTATCTTTTTTTTTTCTTTGTTTTTTTTTTGAGACAGAGTCTTACTCTGTCACCCAGGCTGGAGTACAGTGGTATGATATTGACTCACTGCAACCTCCACCTTCTGGGTTCAAGTGATTTTCCCACCTCAGCCTCCCTAGTAGCTGGGGCTATAGGCTTGTGCCACCATGCCCAGCTAATTTTTTTTTTTTTTTTTTTTTTTGTATTTTTGGTAGAGATGGGGTTTTACCATATTGCCCAGGCTGGTCTTGAACTCCTGGGCTCAAGTGATCCGCCTGCCTCAGCCTCCCAAAGTGTTGAGATTATAGGCACGAGCCACTGCACCCAGGCTGAAAGTAGTATCTTTTTAATTTTACGTGTGCGTAACATTAAAAAGATACTACTTTCAGCCTGGGTGCAGTGGCTCGTGCCAAGACCTCCAAGATGTGTATTTCAACACTGGCATTCATAATTATTTGAATGGCAGGCCACATACTCTTCCACTAGGTGGCCGTTCCACAGTTTATTTAGCTGGTCTGTATTGATGGGAATTTGGCTTGTTTCTATTCTTTTCATATTACAGACAGTGCTGCAGTGTTTATTCATGACCATGTGTTGAGTGACATATATCTGTAAGGTAGATTTCCAGAAGTGGAATCGCTGGGTCAAAGGAAATATGTATTGATAATTTGGGTAAACTTCATCAGATTTCCCTCTATAAAGGCTACGTCAGTCCATATTTCCATCAACAATATGTGAGCCTGTGTGTTTCCCCACAGCCTCACTGCAGAGCGTGTTATCAGACTTCAGAATATTTGCTCCTGCAATGGATTAAAAGTGTTGTCTCTATCTGGTTTCATTTTGCATTTATCTTATTATTAAACATATCCAATCATCGTCAGGTAAATGATTAAGGATATCTTTTTTATTTAAGAGTCATCTATATATCCTTTCCTGTGAATTGTTTTGCTTCTTTTCTTTGAGACAAAGTCTCGCTCTGTTGCCCAGGCTGGAGTGCAGTGGCACGATCTTAGCTCACTGCAACCTCTGCGATTCTCCTGCCTCAGCCTCCTGAGTAGCTGGGACTACAGGTGCGTTCCACCACGTCTGTCTAATTTTTGTACTTTTTAGTAGAGACAGGGTTTCACCATATTGGCCAGGCTGGTCTTGAACTCCTGAACTCATGATCTGCCTACCTCGGCCTTCCAAAGTGCTGGGCTTACAAGCATGACAGGTGTGAGCCACCTCGCCCAGCCCTTTTGTTTTAAAAAAGGTTGTATCTTCCCCAGGACAAGCTTGCCAAAGGAAGATAGATGAAGGTCATTTTCCGGAAATCTGAATAGTATGGGAAGAGCAGAAGTCATCATTCTTATCATCATGAATAATTTATCTACTCAGACATCCCTTTTATATCCAAGAGACAGTGTGGACTGAGGTCTGTGAAGGCGAGATATCCATGTGGAGTCCCCTGCTACCTCCCCGCTCCTCGTCCTCAGGTTTTTCTCACCGTTTAATTCCCTCATTCCCCTCAGTCTCCTTTCAAGAACCCATATCCTAGCCCCTCTCTGCTTCCAAAAAACCAACACTCATTTTCCCCCTTTATTCATCCCTTCATGGGTCTTACCAACAGGCTTCTGCAAGGGTCACTAGATATGTTTCTATAGTTTACAGATATAAGGGAAGCAAGGTGCCAGACCTGAGACAAAAGGGAGACGCGGAGGCTGCGCAGACTGGAGACAACAGGCCCCGTGTGGCGTGCAGCTGCAGCGTGGCCTTAGCTGATTGTTGCTACATCAAGGGGCTTTTGTTAGGTAACAAACCACCCCAAAATGTAGTGGCTTAAAACAAACATTTATTTAGCTCAAACTTCTGCATATTAGCAATTTAGCTGTACCCAGTCAATGGTTCTCCTGGAATCTTTAGTACCCTCGAATATCTCCAGTCACCCACAGGTCAGCTTTGCTAATCCTGGCTGGGTTTCTTCATATTATCTAGGACACATGAGCTGACTCACCCATGGCCACATGGTCTCTCTTCTTCCTGCAATCTAGCTTATTCACATCGTGGTCTCAAGGTTCTAAGGACAGTGGGGAGGGCTTGGCTTCTAGAGGTCTTAGCCGGGAACTGGCACATTGTCGTTCAGATGAAGTCCTAAGACCAGCCCATACTCAAGGGGTGGGGAAATAAACTCCATTTCTTGGTGGCAGGAGCTTAAAAATAACAAAGGCTTGTAGAGATTAGGTGAGGAATAATTGCAGTGATTTTTTTTTGCAAACCTTCTACCTCAGCTGCCATGTAAGAATTAAGGTCCTCTGTGGCTAGAGCCTCTGATTTTTTAAGAGAAGCCAGAAGCTTAGATGTAACATCTCCCAAGAGTTCAGTGCTGGCATCTAGCTCAGACATTTAATAAACACTGTGTGGGAGTCCTAGCTGGCTCTGAGGCTGCTGTTTATTACATCCTCTGCACTTTGGTCTTTCCTAGCCAGGCCAGCTGGACTTTGCTCATGGGCTCTGGAGCCAGGCTACATGTTGGTGGGTGTGGCTTGGCCCCTGGCCATGAGAGAGCCATTTTATGTCTCAGGACCTAGTTTCCTCATGTGTACTGTGGGAGGAATAACAGCCCCCCATGGGGCATTGATTCATTGCACACAAGTGACACTCAATGAATGCCAGGTATTATGGTTATCTCAGCTAGGCAGGGATTCTATTTTCTCTGAGACCACACCATAGTGCTCAATTTTATCAGTGCCATGCTCCCTTGTTATATCAAATATTACATAAATTTATTATCCTGAGATATCCTGAAATACATGCGTAGATAAATATATTGCTTCCTACCTATATTTGTAACTGAAAAAAATCAATATAATAGCTTAACTATAAAGGAGAAATAAAAGGAAAGTCATTTCTTTTTTTAACTTTCTGTTGATTTGCAGTTTTTTTTCTTTTTTTCTTTTTTTTGGAATGGAGTCTTGCTCTGTCACCCAGGCTGGAGTATAATGGCGCAATCTCAGCTCACTGCAGACTCTGCCTCCCAGGTTCAAGTTATTCTCCTGTCTCAGCCTCCTGAGTAGCTGGAACTACAGGCGTGTGCCACCACTCCTGGCGAATATTTGTATTTTTAGTAGACATGAGGTTTCACTATGTTGGTCAGGCTGGTCTCAAACTCCTGACCTCAGATGATCCACCCCCCTCAGCCTCCCAAAGTGATGGATAACAAGCATGAGCCACTGCACCTGGCCAGGAAGACCATTTCTAATAAAATGCTATATATTTCAATGTGTATATGCTTGGACATCACTACTAAAAGATATAATGAAATCCATCAGATGCTTGCATCCACTTATAATAAATAAGTTTGGATTTAAGAAAAGAGATATCTGAAGCTGTTCTGTACAAAAATTACAGAAAAATGAAAGAATGAAAGAGCAGAGAATATGTGCACCCTAGAAAATAAACCCGACTTCTTTGTTTATGATAAGAGAAAGAAGGAGATGACACCATTGAAAAGGGGATGTCATGGGAATTCCCATAGAGTCCAAGTGTGGCAAACATATTTAGGTTCTTAGAAGTGCAGCACATTTCATGCCTTTATTCACTCTCTGAATGTTCAGGGGGGCATACGAGACATGGAACAATTCTCTGTAGTTCAGGACTGTCCTTGCAAGACATCCAGTGTACCTGGTCCTTGCCCATTAAATGCCTGTGGCATTACTTTCCAGAGCCTGGCCAATAAGAATCACCACACCAGCCATAACTAGTTCTTTCTCAGTCTGCTAGGAAAGATGACACCAGCTTATTAGATTCCTTGGGATTCCAAAATGCATGCTGCTCCACCCTTTATTTAGGTGAGATGTTCATTCTTTTTTTTTTTTTTTTTTTTTTTTGAGGCAGAATTTTTGCTCTTGTTGCCCAGGCTGGAATTAAATGGTCTGATATTGGCTCACCGCAACCTCAGCCTCCCAGGTTCAAGCAATTCTCCTGTCTCAGCCACCTGAGTAGCTGGGATTACAGGCATGCACCACCACAACTGGCTAACTTTGCATTTTTAGTAGAGACAGGGTTTCTCCGTGTCGGTCAGGCTGGTCTCGAACTCCCGACCTCAGGTGATCTGCCCACCTCGGTCTCCCAAAGTGCTGGGATTACAGGTGTGAGTCACCGCATCTGGCTCTTCATTCTGTCTTTTAAGGCAACTCTTCCCATCTGAGAGTCAAGGGAATAAAAATCTCGCCTTTGCAGTGGGCGGGCAGCTGTGACCTGGGTGGGACTGTCCTAATGGTGGAGGAGCCGTCAGGGTGGAGAAGGTGGCCTTGCAGAGGTGGGTCTGTCCAGCACAACGTACCGCAATTCCAGAACAATGGCTAAGGCAGCAGAGTTTGGAGAAGGCAATAACCTGCCTTGTTTTCCTTTATCAGCTAAGAGTGTTTGTTTTAAATATAAAAGTAACAAACATATGCTTATCGAAAAAAAGGAACGTTCCAACAACACATAAGAGTATAAAGGAAAAAGGAAAAGTTCATTACCCTAGTAATGTTTTCCATCCAAATTTTCTTCTGTATGTTTATAGATAGACAGAAAGATAAACAAACAGGCAGAGGATTATTATATAGACTAATGAATTTTTTAATTTTAATTTTTATTTATTTATTTATTTTTTGTGACAGCATCTCGCTCTGTCACCAGGCTGGAGTGCAGTGGTGCAATCTTGGCTCACTGCAACCTCCGCCTCCTGGGTTCAAGAGATTCTCCTGCTTCAGCCTCCCGAGTAGCTGGGACTACAGGCGTGCACCACCACGCCTGGCTAATTTTTGTATTTTTAGTAGAAACGGTGTTTCACCATGTTGGCCAGGGTAGTCTCAATCTCTTGACCTCATGATCCACCTGCCTCAGCCACCCAAAGTGCTGGGATTACAGGTGTGAGCCACCGCACCCGGTGGATAGATAGAATTTTTATGGGGCTTCGTCTATACATGCTGTTCTCAAACTTGTACTTATGCTTAACCATAGCCATGAATATCTTTTCAGGACAGTATGAATATTTCTACAGTGTTTTGTTTTATTTTATTTTTTTGTTGAGACAGGGTCTCACTCTGTCACCCAGGCTGGAGTGCAGTGGCATGATCTCAGCCCACTACAGCCTCAACCTCCCAGGCTCAGGTGATGCTCCTACCTCAGCCTCCTGAGTAGTTGGTACTACAGGTATGTGCCATCACACCTGGCTCATTTTTTTTATTTTTGTAGAGATAGAGTTTCACTATGTTGCCCAGGTTGGTCTCGAACTCCTGGACTCAAGTGATCCGCCCACCTTGGCTTCCCAAAGTGCTAGGATTACAGGCATGAGCCACTGCACATAGCATAGTGTTTTTTTAATGGCTGCAGAATTTCTTTCCTGGACTGCTCTTAGACTATGGTTTATTTGACCATTCCTCTGTTGAAGGATATTTGGGTTGTTTCCAGTCATTTACTAACTTAGAGTCGCTGAACAACTTGTACCTTTATATTTGTTCACTTGAGTTTGGATTTCTGTGGGTAGATTTCTAGGTGGGATTGATGGAAGAAAGGGTTTGTACCCTTTACAAATTGCCAAACTGCTCTGTCTCTCCAAGATCTTGCCAGCTGATACTCCCACCAATAGAATATGCGAAGCTCTGTGCATCGTCTTTCAATTTCTGTTACCTATCTGAAAAGTTGCATGAAAAGTATTGTCCAAATTACCTTAGAAAGGCTGCAAATGTGGCCGGGCGAGGTGGCTCACGCTTGTAATTCCAGCACTTTGAGAGGCCGAGACGGGTGGATCACGAGGTCAAGAGATCGAGACCATCCTGGTCAACATGATGAAAACCTGTCTCTACTAAAAATAGAAAAATTAGCTGGGCATGGTGGCGCATGCCTGTAGTCCCAGATCCTCGGGAGGCTGAGGCAGGAGAATTGCTTGAACCCAGGAGACGGAGGTTGCGGTGAGCCGAGATAGAGCCATTGCACTCCGGTCTGGGTAACAAGAGTGAAACTCCATCTCAAAAAAACAAAAAAACAAAAAACAACAAAAAAAGAAAAGCTGTAAATGTGAGCGGGTACCCCTATTCTTTAGTAACCCCTTCATGATTGTGAGGAAAGCAAGCGATCATCTCTTTCAGGACCCCTTGCTCTCTACTTTGTGAGGCGACAGTTGTCCCTGTGAGACAGTTGGCTCTTTCCCATGGAAAGTAAGCCCAGAGGATGGAGTTTTGCACATACCTGGCAATGGTTTCCACCTCCTCAGCCCACAGTCAGCCAAACCCCATGACACCGTTGGTGAGAGCAGATGGCCAAGTGTAGGCATCTCCTGGTGGGTAATCCCGCCCCCTGTAGCTTCTGAGGGGCTCCCACCTGTTCTGCCTATTCTTAGCTTCATGGCTGATCTTTCCTGGACATTTGGTCTGGAGATTTTTCTAAGGAACGAGAGCCAGAGAGAAGAGCATCCTCAGGGAGGGCCCAGAGAAAGGTTCTGAGCAGCACTGGTTGAGTCTTCAAGGATAAGGCACATTTAGATGGCTGAGATTTGAAACCTTCATGGGTTTCTCCAAGCTGTGCCTAGGGGGTACTGGTCGTAATCAAGAAAAGACTGTGGAGCCCCTTCCCAGATGCCATTGACTTGGGGACTCTTGATGAAATTCCAGACATCTTTAGAAAGAGACTATAACTAGCCATCCACGCATCAATGGTGCATCTGGATGGGACCGTGGCACTGTTAGCTCCTGAGTTTTGTTTTCACTTTTTTTTTTTTTTAAGGATGAGATCTTGCTTTGTGCTTTGTTGCCTGGGCTGGAGTACAGTGGCATGATCATAGTTCGGTGTATCCTTGGACTCCTGGGCTCAAGCAGTGCTCCTGCCTTAGCCTCCTGAGTAGCCACCATGCCTGGTTAATTTACTTTTTATTGAGACGAAGGTCATGCTATGTTGCCCAGGCTGGCCTTGAACTCCTGGCCTCAAGCAATCATTTTTTTAAAAGATGTTTTTTCATAAAAAATTTCAAACCTATAGAAAAATAGTAAAATGTAATAGATACTCACATACCTACCACCTAAAATTAACAAGTGTTAACATTTTGCTATTTGCTTCATCTATTTTTATTCTAAACAATTTGAAGGAAAGTGTAGATATTATGACGTTTTATCCCTAAATACTTTAAATACATCTCTACAAATTAAGTTATTGTAGTTTTTTTTTTTTTTTTTAGTATTCTTTTATTTATTTATTTATTTTGAGACTGAGTCCCACTGTGTTGCCCAGACTGGGGTGCAGTGGTGCAATTACGGCTCACGGCAACCTTCGCCTCCTTGGTTCAAGCAATTCTGCCTCAGCCTCCTGAGTAGCTGGGATTACAGGCACCCACCACCACACCTGGACTAAGTTTTGTATTTTTAGTAGAGACGGGGTTTCACCAAGTTAGCCAGGATGGTCTCAATCTCTTAACCTTGTGATCTGCCCATCTTGGCCTCCCAAAGTTCTGGGATTACAAGCGTGAGCCATGGCACCCTGCTGAGTTCCTGTGATTTTAAGAACTTTTTAAAAGGCAGCAGACCATTCTATCAAATGAGGTACCATGTGGATACCCAACACAGAGAGTTGAGTTGTGCTCGGGACAGATCTGAGCAGAGATGTCAAGGATACAGTTAAACGTGCCAGTCTGGGGCTCTAGAGCGGAAGTTGGAGGTGGAGATCTGGGCTTGGGATGTGTTTAAAGCCATAGGCTCAAATGAGGTCACCAAGAGAAAGCGGAGAGAGAGGAAGGAGAGGACACTCCGGCCTTGGAGAGACACCAGCAGAGGAGGCTGAGAGAGCTGCCTGCAGAGTGTGAGGAGAAGCGGGACAGAGGGTGCCTCTGGGGCCAGAAGAAGACAGCGTTTCATGGGCAAGGGTGTAGTCAGTCGTGTCTGCTGTGGAGAGGCCGAGCAAGCCGAGGGCAGAGAGCTGAACATTGGCTTTAGGACAGATGGGAAACCAAGACCCAGAACTGTCAGTTCTAACATTTAGTACTCACAAGCTACAGATGAAGAGGAATCGGAGGACCATTAAGGGAGGGCAACTTGCCTGCAATCATACAACGAGCTAAATGGTAGAGTGAGGACTATAGCCCAGGCTCCCTGGTCCTCCAAAGGGCAGACTTTACCTGCCTAACACCAGCCTTCTCCCTCAGGCCACAAGCTGGATCTTCAGGCCTCAGCTTCTTGCTGGTAATTCCTCTGCAGAGGATCACCAGGTACCCATTGCTGCTGCAGAAAATCCTGGAGAACACACTGCCTGATGCCAGTGCCTACCCTGTCCTTCAGAGGGCTGTCTCTGCCCTCCAGGACGTGAACACCAATATCAATGAATACAAGATGCGCAAGGAAGTGGGTAAGGACTTGGGCATTTAAGAGGACACATTTGGCCGGGCGCGGTGGCTCAAGCCTGTAATCCCAGCACTTTGGGAGGCTGAGGTGGGTGGATCACGAGGTCAAGAGATCGAGACCATCCTGGTCAACAAGGGGAAACCCCGTCTCTACTAAAAATACAAAAAATTAGCTGGGCATGGTGGCACGTGCCTGTAATCCCAGCTACTCAGGAGGCTGAGGCAGGAGAATTGCCTGAACCCGGGAGGCGGAGGTTGCGGTGAGCCGAGATCGTGCCATTGCACTCCAGCCTGGGTAACGAGCAAAACTCTGCCTCAAAATAAATAAATAAATAAATAAATAAATAAATAAATAAAAAGAGGACACATTTTTGGGAATGCTTCCAGTTACAGAAAATCTATTTAAAATCAGTTTCACCAGTAAAGAGAATGTAGTAGCTTATGTAACTATAAATCCAGAGGTAATGAGACAGTTTTCGGTAGGGTTTGATCAGGGCGCTGGCTCCATTTCCCTGTAACTCCCATGTCTCTGCTCTTTACTCTGTATCAGCTTCATCTTCAGGCTGGCTTGCCTCATAATAGCAAGTTATGACTGTTCTAAGACTCACAGCTGCACACCACACTTCCCAGGGTAAGGCAAGGTTTTTTTCCCCTTAGCCACAAAAATTAAAACGAATCTTCTGTTTGATAGGACCCTCCTGGGTCACATGCTTACCCTGAACTAATCACCATAATTAGGGTGCCATGAACTGATTTCCTTAGGCCTGGGTTATGTGCCCTTCTTTGCATCAATCACTGTTGCCAGGGGGTTGGAATTCTATGGATTGGCTTGTATCAGTCAGCAACCCACCCTATGAGCTAAAGTGAGATCGATCTCATCCAAACCCCATGACTGCCACACTGTGGAGGAGAAACCAATACTGGGGAGGTGAGGAACTGTGCATGTATCTGGGGAGAGGGAGAACCCCTGCCTCTCAGGTTGTTAAAACAGATAGGTTTGGAAAGTGAAGCAGGGTCCCAAGTTAAGAGAAACTCAATTACACGACTGAGACAATATAAAAATGGCAATTCAGCTAATGTGAGTAGGAACTAACCGTGCCGTGGTTTTTCCTTTATCGTCATATTTGGTCTTTGCCCTAACCCTCTGAGGTTGGCCCTGTTAGCCCCATTTCACAGCTGGGTGAAATGAGAGAATACATCACTTGCTTCCTCTCACAGAACTGGTAAGGGACAGAGCCAGGTTTCTTTCTTTCTTTCTTTCCTGCTTTTCTTTCTCCTTCCTTCCTTCCTTCCTTCCTTCCTTCCTTCCTTCCTTCTCTCTGTCTGTCTGTCTGTCTGTCTGACGGAGTCACGTACTGTTGCCCAGGCTGGAGTACAGTGGCCCAACCTCAGCTCGCTGCAGGCTTCACCTCCCAGCTTCCAGCAATTCTCCTGCCTCAGCCTCCCAAGTGGCTGGGACTACAGGCGCGTGGTGCCACCATACCCAGCTAATTTTTTGTATTTTTTTTTTTTTTTTTAGTAGAGACAAGGTTTCACCATATTGGCCAGGCTGGTCTCGAACTCCTGACCTGGTGATCCACCTGCCTCAGCCTCCCAAAGTGCTGGGATTATAAGTGTAAGCCACTGCACCTGGCTGAGAACCAGGTTTCAAACTCTGGCCTGGAGTTTTCACCACCATGCTATACTATATTTAACAGCTTTGGATTTCTTCCCCACCTGCTTCTCCATCCAGGCCAGGAGACGACAGGTCAGTAGGAAGCACTGAGTCAGGAGCGGGAAGCGTGGCTCCCAGCTGGCCTGGCTCAAACTGGCTGAGGGACCTCAGGCAAATCTCTTCTCCCTGGGTTCTTTAGGAAGTCCATTCAGACCTTCTGTCTTAGGTGACTCTCCTGGCAATCCTGCAAGTTGGCTAGTCCCATTTTACAGATGAGGAAACTGAGGCCCCAAGGAGTGGTGACTTGCCAGAGTCAAGCAGGCAGGGAGCTCTTCAGCCAGGGCACACACCTCAGACAGAGTACCCTGTGCTTTTCCTGTGTGACTCACCAACCTGATAAATGTGACCCTGTTGGAGCAGAGGGCCCAAGCAGGTGCCCAGCTAGGCATGTCCATGACGCTTGCTTTCCTGGGTCGGCTTTGATCACCGTGCTTCCCCTCTTCTCTGTCGGTGCAGCCTCCAAGTACACCAAGGTAGAGCAGCTGACCCTCCGGGAGCGGCTGGCCCGCATCAACACACACACCCTCTCCAAGAAGACCACCCGGCTGAGCCAGCTGCTGAAGCAGGAGGCGGGACTGATCCCCAGGGTGAGCATGGGCCTGGGAGGAAGAGTCCCATCCAGCCACCCTTGAGGCCAGGCCCTGCGCACGGCGTCGACAGGGGGCTTAGGCTCCTTTCAGAACTGAGGCAACAGAGGCCGAGCAAGTGAGGTGCTGGGAAGAGGCAGAGGTGGCACCCCACTTGATTCTGGAGAGCCAGTGGAGGGCTTTCTCCAGTGTTTTAGGCCACTCTCTCTGGGGCCTCTCTACCCAGATAGGAGAGCTGGTCTCTGAGTCTGGGCAAAGACCCAGCCCCAAATAGCTACTTCTAGCAGCTCAGGTTGGCGGAGTGCCTGCTCCGAACCAGGCACGCTCACCCAATTAAATAGGTCTTCCCATTATCCCCATTTTGAAGATGAGAAAACAGAAGCTCAGACAGGGTGAAACACTTGTCTGGGGTCACACAGCTAGGAAGCCAGTGAACTGGGGCTCATGCTTATGTACCCGATGCCATGCAAAACCCCTGAGCTACACGATCCACTGAGCTTCGGGGCTGTGAGCACCTGCGCTGGTGGGCAAACCTGTGGAAAGGTTGTTCCCGGGAGGACTTGGGACACTGGAGCCAGTGTCCACTGCCCCCTTGTGGATATTCTCAGCCCTCACACACATTACTTTCAGACAGAAGACAAGGAATTTGATGATTTAGAAGAGAGGTTCCAGTGGGTGTCTCTGTGTGTGACTGAGCTGAAGAACAACGTGGCTGCTTACCTGGACCACCTGCAGGTGAGGACCCTGCAGCGCTCATCAAGGGCAAGTCTGGGCTGGGTTCCCCCAGCAGGAGGCTTGCTGGGCCCAGCCTACAAGCTAGGGAAAGTCATCCAGTCTCAGGCTGCCACCAGAAGAATTCCTGGGCAGCACTCCTCAGCCCCAGGTCATTAGACTGGGGGGCAACTTCTGAGCCCACTGGGGTTCCTACCAGGTAGGGTAAAAATTCACTGGGACCAGAGCCCTTCAGAGCAACCCTGCCAGACCAGCACCTAGAGCAGGAGAGACAAACTCAGGTGCCTGAAGGGGCCAGGCAGGTAATGCTACTGAGTGAAGTGTGGGGAAATAGGCAGTTTGATGCAATGGGAGTGTAGTGTCTAACAGGCTGTTTAGGAGGCTTGTCAGTGGGCTTACACATAAAATCGTATTTGGAATTTGAAGGGCTGAATGAATGAATGAATACATGAATCAAATCTAAAGGAGCAGCTATTATTCAGCTCTGTGGGTTGGTGCTGGGTGGGAATCTGGGTCCAGTTCTTCTGACTTTAAGAAAAACATACCTGGAAATTCAGGTATTTTCCAGATTTTTGATGGCATCTCCTGATGTGTCAACGTGAGCAACTAATTAAATAAAGATTTAAATGCTATGAAAGCCCAAGAAAATATACCTCTACAAACTGAATTCAGCCCATAGGCCCATCAGTTTGCGTGACTCTCCAGCAATATCAGTTTCCTCTAGCCCAAATCCCGCCTTGATTCTTAGCATCACTGCTGACTCAGTCTGTCCACCCTGCCTCCTTTACGTGGTTTTGTTCTTAATTACGTACGTTTGTGCAAACCAGCTCAGTCAGAGATGATAATGGGCCCTTTGGATGATGGAGTGTGGGATGGCATTATAAATATGTAAAGGAAGGAGAGCGTAGCACCACGCTTCTCTGTGTGGGTCAACCCCACTGCTCGTTCATGTTCCACTGTGGGCACCCCCAGTGGCAGGGTCTGAATAGCCGGGATCCTGTTACAGCACAGCGAGCAGGAGGGGAAGACGCTCAGAGCCAAGGCATGAAAAAGAAAGGTGGGCCTACAAGTGGTGGGCCTCAGAAACCGACCAGATGAGGTCATCCAGTCTCTGGCTGCCACCAGAAGTATTGGGCTTTGAGAGAGGTTTCCACAGGGACGTGAGAGACACCTCCAGCTTTGCCGAGCAGGATGGCTATTTGGAAGCATTAAGGCTGCCTCTGTAGACGCAGGACTTACACGACAGATACGGAGTTAACATGGAATCTTGTCATTAGTGAGGGATTCCCTCTTTTAATCCTCTGACTGAATCCAGGAAAAGCCTGCTTGCTGGTATTCCTTTAACACATTGCAGAATGAGTTTCAGGCTGAGTATCATTTCAGAATGATATCCAGCGAGTAGAATGTAATGACAGTTTTTTGTTTTTATAGCAATTATTTTATATGCTTATCTGTGGTGATTACTGCTGGTTTTCCCTTCCTGGTAGCATTGTAAGGTCTGTGTGTGTGTGCTTTTTTTAATGCATTGATGTAAATAGAAAAGATTAATTGATTTAGAGAAAAGCATTAATAGAACATGTGAAATATGGACATGGAAAAAAACCTACTGCCACGTGCAGAGGCTCATGCCTGTAATCATAGCACTTTGGGAGGTTGGGAGGCTGAGGCAGGTAGATCACTTGAGATCAGGAGTTCGAGACCAACGTGGCCAACATAGTGAAACCTTGTCTCTACTAAAAATATAAAAATAAATATTAAAAAAAATTAGCTGGGTATGGTGTTACATGCCTGTAGTCCCAGCTGCTTGGGAGGCTGAGGCAGGAGAATCACTTGAACCTGGGAGGCGGAGGTTACAGTGAGCCAAGATCGCTGCACTGCACACTAGCCTGGGTGATGGAGTAAGACTCTGTCTCAAAAAAAGAGAAAAAATCCCCACAAAGGTAGATGCAAATGTGTGAAGTTCAAGAAGCGCTGGAATGAGGAGAAAGAGGTTGGCTCACTCTAAGGCAGAACTTTCTAATCACTTAAGCTGTGTGAGGATAGAATCAGCTGTGTGTGTCCCTCTGGGGTATGTAGAGAGTCTAAACAAACTCTTCAGGAGGTATGGTGGAAGGGGATTCCAGCCTAAGATGGCCACAACGGCCCATGATTGGATGTTTCTCCTTGGTACTGGGTCCAGGCTTTCCTCTGCTTCAGGCCGCACGAATACAATCTGGACATCCCCGAGGGGCCTGCAGTGCACTACTGCAATTTGGCAAGAGACCTTCAGCTGGAGGCCTTCCTGAAGTTTGTGAGTGGAACTTTTCCTTTCTTCTTTCTTTGTTAGGCAGCGGGTAGAACTTACAAGAATAGTGTTTAGAAGTCAGGCATTTTATGCAGCTGTCACATCTGTCATCTTCCTGAGAGGTCAGCAGCATAGAGGTTATTATCAGTGCACTTTACTGATAAAAATAGACCCCAGGCCGAGGCGGGCGGATCACAAGGTCAAGAGATCGAGACCATCCTGGCCAACACAGTGAAACCCCATCTCTACTAAAAATACAAAAAAATTAGCTGGGCGTGGTGGCGTGTGCCTGTAGTCCCAGCTATTCAGGAGGCTGAGGCAGGAGAATTGCTTGAACCCAGGAGGTGGAGGTTGCAGTTAGCGGAGGTCACACCACTGCACTCCAGCCTGCCTCCTGGTGACAGAGTGAGACTCTGTCTCAAAAAAAAAAAAAAAAAAAAAAGACCCCACTAACATTTATTGAGTCTCACTATTTGCCAGACTCTATACTAAGCCCTTTATATTCCTTACATCAGGTGTCCCCAAACTTTTTACACAGGGGACCAGTTCACTGTCCCTCAGACCGTTGGAGGGCCGCCACATACTGTGCTCCTCTCACTGACCACCAATGAAAGAGGTGCCGCTTCCTGAAGTGTGGCGGGGGGCCGGATAAATGGCCTCAGGAGGCCACATGTGGCCCACGGGCCGTAGTTTGGGGACGCCTGCCTTACATCATTTAATCCTCACCATATGGTTTTGGGGTTGGCTACTATGAATCGCCCCATCCTGCAGATGGGAGCTTGAGGCTCAGTTAGGGTGACCTCCTGGGTCATTTGTACAGATGGTCAGTGGTAAGCTGGGATCTGAGCCCCAAAGACTCTTGACCACCACTCTATACAAAATATTTTCTAAGGCTGGGCAAGGTGGCTTACACCTATAATCCCAACACTTTGGAAGGCCAAGGCGGGAGGATTGCTTGAGCCCGGTTGTTTGAGATTAGCCTGGGCAACATAGAGAGACCCTGTCTCTACAAATAATAATAAAATTAGCTGGGTGTGGTGGCATGTGCCTGTCGTTCCAGCTACTTGGGAGGCCAAGGCGGATCACTTGAGCCTGACAGGTGGGCTGCAGTGAACTATGATCATGTCACTGGGAGACAGCCTGGGAGACAGAGTAAGACCCTGTCTCAAAAAAATGAATATATATGTATTTTCAAGATCTTTGTATAACGATGATTGGAAGTGCTCTATAAGACTGAATGCCTACTCTGTGCCAGGCTCTCTGTTATGCTCATTACATGCATCATCCCCATTTTTCAGATAGGCAGATTGAGGCCCAGAGAAGTTAGATAACATGCTAAAGGTCCCAGCTAGTCGGTGGGGCTTAGACTGGAACCCAGGCCTGCATGCTTCCAAAGTCCCTTTCCCAGCCCCTGCTTTCCGCCACCTCCTTTCCCAACTCCCATGCTCACCTCTCCCTGCAGAAGCAGCGGCTGGAAGGCCTGGTGTGGCAGCCACTGTGCAGCCTGGCCAAAGCCCTGCTCGGCCCTCAGAACCTGATCAAGAAGCGTCTGAACAAGCTACCGGACTTTGAGCGGGTAGAAGAGAAGCTGCTGGAGGTGGGCAGTATGACCTACGAGGAGCAGGCCGCCCGGCACACGTACCAGGCGCTCAACTCCCTGCTGGTGGCTGAGCTCCCACAGTTTAACCAGCTGGCCATGCAGTGGCTGGGCCAGATCCTGTGCACATTCGTGACCCTCCAGAGGGACCTTGCGAAGCAAGTGCTGCAGAGGGCAGAGGGGAGCATGGCCCAGGTAAGGCGGCTGGAACTGGGACACCTGTGGGGGACCCTGCCGCCCCATCAGCCAGCTATGTGTAGGCGCTAGGAGGGAGGGAGGCATCAGGCACTTAGGAGGAGGCCGTGGGAACCTTCCAGATCTTTCTCATACTAGTCTCCCTCTGTTAGTGAAGTCAGACCATGAAAGCAAGGATAGGACTGAGATTCCAGACCATTCCCAAGTCCTGCAACTCAGAAGCAGAAGAAGCTTTGCTGGTACAATAGCAGACCTTAGGATTGATCTCTGACGTGTGCTAGATGTTGGTGACAGAGACAGAAGGTCGCATCTACACAGTCAGCAGTAAATGTCTCAAGCCGGTGTTACTACTCCTAGCAGCCTTCTTCTCCTGAGTACTTTGGATGAGCTCATTCAACCCTCACAACAAGCCTACAGAGTAGGTATAATTATCCTCATTTTAAAAATAAAGAAGCCACGGCAGGGAGAGGTTAAGTAGCTTGTCTAGGGCCACACGGCTAATAGCAAGCTTTGAACTCTGACAGTTCAGCTCCAGATCCTGAGCTCTGAACCACAACACTCAAGAGCCTGTAAAAGGAACTACCGGCTGAAAGCGTAAATAGGTTCCATGGAGGCTTGGATAAAGCTCCAAATGCAAACTTGGTTTTAGTGTTTGGAAGACTGAAGTTGATACAGGGAAGAATACCCACCTGATTCCAGATTTTGCTCTCAGATGTCAACGTCAGAGCTGAATTGCTGGTGGGTCCAACCTTGGGAGCAGTTTCAGTACTTCTCATGTCACACACTGTCTCCTGTGTGTCACCGTCTCCAGCTAAGCTTTTCCCCATCCAATCCTTTGCATGAAAATTCTACTAAGATTTGCCTTCCCCAGCCCGTCTCCTTTGCAGCCCACAGCTCTCCCCTCCAGCACACAGCTGCTGACTGTAGCCATTCTGCACAGATGCCTGCTTCGGCTTCCAATGCCCCGCTCCATTGTCCCTCAGCACTTTAAGTGTCTGGCATAGAGTAGGAGCTCCCCATACAGGTGACAGATGAATGAGTCTCTCCATGAAGCTCTCAGAGCTCCCCATCCCCTGGTGGGGAGAAATTACCTCCTATCCTCCACTCTCCAGCAGCCCTGTGGGTGGGACTGTGTTCAGTACTTTCCAGAGCCTGCCTTCTGCTGCAGGGACCCATGGATGTGTTTCTCCTCCAGCAGGGGGGCTGGGACTGCAAGCTTTTCTTCTTTTTGGTCCTTGCAGAGTTCTGTCCCAGACACTGTTTGCAAATTGAATTAGGCCTGAACCATCAGCAAAAGAAATGTTTCTCTTCCTTGAGGGCAGAAGAGTAAATCTGCTGAGGTGATCATTTTCCTTTCTTCTAGCCTAGAGGTTTTCTCTCTTGGGTTGCCTCAACCCCTCGCATTAAAGCTGGGATGTGCAGAGCTGGGGAGTTTTGGGGACGCCAGTAGAGAGGTGGTCACATTTATAAAAGCAGAAAGTAAGGGTGCTTCCTGATTGGTCCTGTCAGAGTCTGCTGGTGACAGCTGCCAGCCTGCCTTATCTGTGTCCTGTGGTCCACGAACCTGGCCTGTCCCTGTGGGGCCTGGGAAAGGCTGCAGGCAGAAACCTCAATCTCCCTTCATGCTGGTGGGAGGAGGGCTCTAGGTCAGCACTGAGAACAGTGAGTTTGGTGACAAGCTGTGGGGTCTCACTCACTCCTAGGTTGTCTGATGAAAATGCAAGAGATCCTGCACAGGGTTGAAAGCAACAGAAACCCAAACCAAGCCAGGGATCTCCTTGTCCCCTCTTGCCCAAAGCTCTGTTGACAGCGTCTGTCCCCACTTAGCTGCCCCACCACCAGGTCCCAGAGCCTGCCTTCAGGAAGCTGGTGGAGGACACACTGGGCCGGACGAGTAACCAGCTTCACTCCTTTCAAGAGACCTTTAAGAAAGTGCGGCCACCTCCCACCACACAGGTAAGCATCCTGCCCCGCCCCAAAGGCTGGCCAGTTCCTCGCTGGCCTGTGGGGTGAGGCTCCATCCTCTCTTTCCCTTCCTTTTTGTGCCCCAGTGTTTCCTGTTATCCATGGAAATAAGTTCTCTTCTCTCGCCTTTCTCTCTGAGCTGGGGGTCGGGGACACACCCACACACATACATATTCTTCACATCCAAGAAGTGGAAGAACAGCACAGAACTTCTGAGTCAAGGGAAAGAAAACTCAAACCTTTTGCTATTAACTGAAATTAGACATAATGATTGGCAAAGGGTATTGACATCCAAAAATCCAGAACTTCTTCAAATTGTCATCAGAAGGTATCTTTGGCCGGGCATGGTAGCTCACACCTACAATCCCAGCGCTTCGGGAGGCTAAGGTTGACGTATCACTTGAGGCCAAGAGTTCAAGGTCGGCCTGGCCAACATGGCAAACCCCGTTTCTACTACAAATACAAAAATTAGCTGAGTGTGGTGGTGTGTGCCTATAATCCCAGCTACTCGGAAGGCTGAGGCAGAAGAATTGCTTGTGCTTGGGAGGCAGAGGTTGCAGGGAGCCAAGCAAAGGTATCCTTTTGCTTCCCTGCCTTCTAATACCAGCTTCAATATGAGCATTCAACATAAATAAAAATTTTGAATATGTAATTTAAATTTCCTTTTGCTATTTTTTTTTTTTTATTGCAAAGAACAGAATTTCAGCTGCATGACGGTTTACAAATCTTTGGCTGACCAAATGCTTTTCTTTTTTTTTTTTTTTTTAAGATGTAGTTTCACTCTGTTGCCCTGGCTAGAGGGCAGTGGCACAATCTTGGCTCATTGCAACCTCCACCTCCAGGGTTCAAGCGATTCTCCTGCTTCAGCCTCCTAAGTAGCTATGATTACAGGTGCCCACCACTACACCCAGCTATTTTTTGTATTTTTAGTAGCAACAGCATTTCACCATGTTTACCAGGCTGGTCTTGAACTCCTGACCTCAGGTGATCTGCCTGCCTCAGCCTCCCCAAAGTGCTGGGATTACAAGCATGCGCCACTGCACCTGGCCTCAAATGCTATTTTTTTTTTTTTTTTTTTTGAGATGGAATTTCACACTGTTGCCTAGGGCTGGAGAGTACAATGGTGTGATCTCGGTTCACTGCAACCTCCAACTCCCAGGTTCAAGTAATTCTCCTGCCTCAGCCTCCCGAGCAGCTGGGATTACAGGCGCGCGCTACCACGTCTGGCTACTCTTTTGTATTTTTAGTAGAGATGGGGTTTCACTATGTTGGCCAGCCTGGTCTCGAACTCCTGACCTTGTGATCTGCCTACCTCGGCCTCCCAGAGTACTGGGATTACACGTGTGAGCCACTCTGCATCTGGCCCTAAATGCTTTCTTAAAAATGTATTTTCCTTTAAAATATAAGTAGAGGTTATCTGTTCTAGTCACTTGAAAAGTATATGCAGGTGGTCTGTGTTTTAAAAGTAACTGAAGCAGCTGCAGGGAGAAGGGTCTCCTCAGACTGTGGCAAGACCTGGATGTGAGAAACTGAAACGGTGTCACATCACATGCAACATGTGAAATGAAGAGTCAGGAGACAAGAGCCCTGAGATTCCCCGGAGGGACAGTGGGGCCCCCGGGACACACAGAAACAAGAAAAGGAGCCCAGCAGAATAGGACAGATGAAGGGGGCCCACACTTGGTCCAAGTGTCGCCAACATAGGAGACCATCACGCCCTGAAGTCTGCCCTGAGGCCGCGGGCTGACTCCTTGCTAGCCGCATCTGCCCCCTCCTACCCTCCCTTCGAGCATTGCCCAGCAGAAGCTTCACTGACTAGAGGGGTGCCGTGGGCCCCGAGACTTGGGGAGAGAGCACGAGTGCAAAAGATAAACAGCAGAATAGCCACTCGAATATGTCGTAGGAACCTCTTCTCTCTTTCTACTGAAAGCAAATTAAAAGGATATGTTTCTTATTGGGAAAGCAATCCATATTTATTGCGGAAAAGTTAAAAGACACAGACAAACAAACAAATTAAAAGGAAACAAATGGAAACATCCATAATCCCAGTATGTGTTGCACATTGGTAGGAAGAGTCACCCCTTCCCACCCTTCCACCTCTACACACACACACACACACACACACACACACACACACACACCTCCTGTCCATTTCTGATGTACTTGGCTGAGGATATAGAATCCAGCATAAGTGAGGCGGTCTCCCAGGACAGGAGCGGCCCTTCTGGAATCTTTACAAGCCCTCCTTGGAGGCCCTCCCAAGAGTGACGCTGTTCTCCGCGTAGGGAGGGCTGGTCAGCCTCGAGAAAGAAGGCCAGCATCTGTGACACCACGGGCTCTCATACTCACACGCACACCACGGTTCCGAAAGATGTGACCACAACACCGCTGTTCTCAAAGAAAACGACCTCTCTCTACGCTCCTGTTTAAGGACCTGTTTAGAAACATTGAGATCTCCTGGTTCTAAATCCTGACACACCACCCGCTTTGGAGGAAGGACATGGCAGAATGTGTGGCCGAATGTTCCTGAAGGATGTCTCTGCCTGCCTCCCCACAGCCAACACCTCCCCACAAGAAGTAACCACAGAGAGCGTGGTGCACACACACACACACACACACACACACACACACAGAGACACACATGCGCGCACACACACGCACGCACGCTTCTCTCAAGACAGAGAGTAAATATCTATTTAACATATTTAGTTTCTTATTGATTTTACAAAAAGGGGACAAGCATCCCCGAGTCTCTTCTTGTTGATACTCTCTGGAAACAGTATTATGGAATGGGAAAACGGGAAGTGCCAGGACATTTTTGGATAAGCTGAAAGTGCCACCAAATCATTCTTTCCAGCTAGATGGCAATTTTCATCTGAGTAAAACTCTCTCCTGTGTTTCTACTACACCATTCACAAAGTTTTCCACAGGGACTTGTAAATAATAGGTGTCTCATAAATGCCTGTGGGCTGCAAACTCATGGAATCGAAGGTTACATTCCGTTATTTACGCATATGTGAAGTCCGCCATGTGCTGGCCCTGGCTGGCTATTTAGGAAACCAGATGAATAAGATCTGGTGCCCACTTGAAACTCACAGCTTAATGGAATTGAAAGACCTGTCCGAGGCATTCTGCTGTGGCATAACGTAGCTTGATGGTATGGGCAGAATTTAGGGCCCAATCCCAGGAGTTCGGTAACTGAGAAATGTCAGAACTTGAATTAGAATTTTAGAGAATCCCAGAAATTAAGTTTCTTCTAAAATGCTATTGGCTGCTTAGAGCCAGCCATCTGCTAGTGGGGGCCTTGTTGCCCTGATCAGGGTGGGCCCTTCAGTGGCAGAGTGAGGACCAGGCCCTGGTACTCCTGGCTCTCAAAATGCGAGCAAATGTTGGCGCCACCTTTGACAGGTTTATTCAAGCACGTGTGTCTGTCTCTGCTCCTCCTCTCCCAGCCGCTCCTTCCAGGGTCTGAACGCCAGGTGCAGGCTCTCCTGAGCAGGTATGGCCCTGGGAAGCTGTACCAGGTGACGAGCAACATCAGTGGGACTGGGACACTGGACCTGACTCTGCCTCGGGGCCAAATCGTGGCCCTTCTTCAAGACAAGGACACCAAAGGCAACAGGAGCCGCTGGCTGGTGGACACAGGGGGTGTGTGAGCCTTTGTGAGCCCTTCCTCTCTTTCTGGGAAAACCACCCCACAGAAGCCAGTGCAGAGACCCAGGCACTCTTGTGGGCCAAAGTCTGGCTGTGCGTTCTAGGATGGGAGCAGGCACAAGTGACAAACGCAGGGCTCACAGCACGGTCAGCCCAGAGTGACTCAGTGGGGCATGAAATACCCACAAAAGGAATTCAGGCATTCATTGCAGGGTCGGTCATCTAGCACCTACGCTGTGCTGGGCGTTGAGCATATAAGATAAAGCTCCTGCCTTGAGGGCCTTGCAGATCACTGGGCTCAGCAGGGCTAGGTGGAGAGAACTCCGGGACCACCCTGAAAGATGGAGATGTGCACAGAGATAGAATGCTCGGAGCCCGGCTACACTGCTGGAAGTCTGATGTGCAGAACGAGGGGAGCAGTCATCCTGCCCACTCCGTACTGGTCATGGCCTTGGGGTGTGCTGCTCAGGTCTGGGTGTCCCAGTGTAACTGGGCTGGAGGGAAGTGGCACCATGAATGCAGGTGAGATAGTCCAGGACAGCATCTTCCAAAGAGGGGCGTGTGACACAGAAGATGAGGAGTGCATGAGATGACTGTCAGAGGATCCACAGACAGTTTTTTTCCCCTTCAGACAGTGTATTATAATTGTTACTAAAGCTTTTTTTTTTTTTTTTTGAGACAAAGTTTTGCTCTTGTCACCTAAGCTGGAGTGCAGTGGTGCAATCTTAACTCATTGCAACCTCTGCCTCCCGGGTTCAAGCGATTCTCCCACCTCAGCCTCCCAAGTAGCTGGAATTACAGGCATGCACCACCACACCCGGCTAATTTTTTATTTTTAGTAGAGACGGCGTTTCTCCATGTTGGTCAGGCTGGTCTCGAACTCCCGACCTCAGGTGATCTGCCCACCTCAGCCTCCCAAAGTGCTGGAATTGCAGGCATGAGCCACCGCGCCCGGCTACTTAACCATTTTAATGAGTCTTAGAAAAAATATACTAGTCTGTAATTCCATGATTATAATCTTATTATTGTATAGGACAAGATGAAGTTTTAAAAATCGAGTCAATTAAAAAATTAGGAAAGTGGTACAAATTGGACAGAAATCATGAAACAGCACTTTCATGACTTAAGGTGGAAACAATGGAATGAGCGTTAAGCGAGGCCCCCAAGGCTAAAAGGACTGGATTTGGATTCCAGCTCCACCGTTTTCCTGGCTGTGTGATCTCAGGGAAGTCGCGGAGCCTGTCTGAGCTCGGCTGGTTCAACGTAAAATGGAGAGGATAACCTTACCAGCTGCCCTCAAGAGTTGATGTGGAGACTCTGTAATGAAATGCTAGCTCTGTAGTCTGGCACGCCCTCGGGAAGTGATAGCCATTCATAATGACAGCAGTCAGAGCAACACTGGACTAGTTGCTACACACAAAGGACCTGGGATCCCGTGGAGAGGAGAAAGGCAGTCTCTGCCTCCTGGGAAAGGCAGAACCTGGGGAGAGGAAGCAGCTCTTGCTCTAAGCAGATGCCAGAGGGACAAGGGAGCTGGCAGCTCTATCAGGAGAGCAGTTTTCATGCCAGTCCAGGGACAAAACTTTTTTTTTTTTTTTTTTTTTCAAGACAGAGTCTCTCTCTGTCACCTAGGCTGGAGTGCAGTGGTGCGAACTTGGCTCACTGCAACCTCTGCCTCCCAGGTTCAGGCTATTTTCCTGCCTCAGCCTCCCTAGTAGCTGGGACTACAGGGTCGCACTACCTCATCCAGCTAATTTTTTTTTTTTTTGAGATGGAGTTTCGCTCTTGTTACCCAGGCTGGAGTGCAATGGCGCGATCTCGGCTCACCGCAACCTCCACTTCCTGGGTTCAGGCAATTCTCCTGCCTCAGCCTCCTGAGTAGCTGGGATTACAAGCACACGCCACCATGCCCAGCTAATGTTTTGTACTTTTTAGTAGAGACGGGGTTTCACCATGTTGACCAGGATGGTCTCGATCTCTTGACCTTGTGATCCACCTGCCTCGGCTTCCCAAAGTGCTGGGATTACAGGCTTGAGCCACCGCGCCCGGCCTCCAGCTAATTTTTTGTATTTTTAGTAGAGACGGGGTTTCATTGGGTTTCAAACTTTTAATCTCTATCACAGTTGATCAAATGGAGCGGGCTGTCCAGTAGGGAATGAGCCCCCTATCACTGGGGTGTGTTAGCCGAAGCCAGAAACAGTGAGCGTAAGGCAGAAGGGGTTCAGGGTTCCTAGATGACCTTTTCAGGTTCTCTTGGGTGTTGGGAAGCTGTGTTGGAGACATTTACATCCATTGATTTTCTCCACCATTAAAAGGGATGGGAAGGTGGCTAACAGTCCACTAACCTTCTGCATGCTCCCTAGGACATCGTGGGTATGTGCCAGCCGGGAAACTGCAGCTGTACCATGTGGTCCCCAGCACAGAGGAACTCCAAAGGCAGGCGGGGCTGAATGAAGACCCCCGATGTCTAACACCAGAGGCTGTTCGAGCTCCAGTGCCCTCTATTCCCACTGCGAACCAGGTGAGTACAAGAGAGGGCTGGGGACTTGCCGCTCCTCAGCCATCTGGACTGTGGCTTGAGTCACAGACGTCTCTGTCAAAGTCTATGCCTTTCCTGTGTGTTGGGGCTGCCACTCTGTGAGGCCAAGGCCTTGATCAGTGGCCACACCAGTGTCCCAGCCATGAGTGGGACCTGAAGAAAGGGGCCTCCCACCCCTACCACAGCAACCACAGAAAACTAACCCCTCATTCCCCATCAGCAGGGCAAGTGAGATTCATTCATTCATTTGTTCGTTTGTTCATTCATTCATTTATTCGATATTTGCCAGGCACTGTACTAGATGGAGATACAATGATGAACAAAACTAAATTATGGTCTTTGCTTTCCTCAAACTTCTAATCTGCAAGTAGGAAAACAGTGATTAATACAATGACTGCATGAGTAACTGAAGTTAAATTTGATAGCAGAGATAAGTACCCCGAGCCCTAGATGCAGAGAGGTCCAGGAAAGGTTTTGCTGAGAAGCATGACGCTGTTTCTCAGACAGGAAGGGAGAGAGAGAATTAATCGGATAAAGAGGGCGTCCTGGGGTGCAGAGGGAAATAACTCGGCAGAAAAGGCTCAGCGGTAGGAGAGGACAGGAGGTATGTGAAGAACTGAATGAAGCCACTGTGGCCGGAGAAGAGAGGGGACAGACTGGAGAGTCGTGCCACTGAAGAGGTGGGCAGGGACAGGCCAGCAGGATCTTGTGGCCTTGGTGAGGGTGTCAGTCTGTCTTTCTCTGAAGAGCAATGGGAAACATGTGTATGCACGTTCATGGCAGCATTAGTCACAGCAGTCCAAAAGTAGCAACAACCCACAAGCCCATCAACATGAACGGATAAACACAATGTGAGCTCTTCGTACAATGGAATATTATGCAGCCCTAGAGAGGAAGGGAGCAGCAGTACATGCTGCAGCACGGACAAGCCTTGAACACATGCTGCTAAGTGAACAAAGTCAGACGCGAAAGGCCACATAGGATTCCGTGCCTGTGGTTGTCCAGAACTGGCAAACCCATAGAGATAGAATGTAGATGAGTGTCTGGCAGGGGCTGGGGGTGGAGGTGGGGAATGGGGAGTGATTGCTAACTGGTATGAGCTTTCTTTTTGGGGTGATAAAAATGTTCTGGAATTAGATAGTGGGAATAGTTGCATGTGCCTGTGTGAGTATACTTAAAACCTCTGAATTGTATATTTTAAAAAGGTAAGTGTTATAGAATGTGAATTATATCTCAAAAATAAAGTGACTGGAAGCCATTAAGGGATTTGGCTTTGCAGGGATGGAGTCCTTGAGCAGGGAAGAGGCTCAGCTGGGATAGTTGAAAGGATGAGATGAGACAGTAAAGGGCTGCATGGATTGTGAGCCTCTCTCAGTGGAGGCTGCTGTCACAATGACCAGCAGTGGAGGGTGGTGGAGGAGGAACCGCAGGGGAGGCAGGAGCAACAGAAAGGATCTGGACACACCCAGGTGCCTTGGGCCAGGGCAGCTGGAGGAGCCTGCAGCAGGCTGTGTGAGTGCTGCCCAGGTGTCTGGGGACCCTCCGCTCCAGAGCTCCTGCCACACCCACTGGGAAGGCTGCCAGCTCAGCATCCTCCAGTAGTAGCCAGAAGTAAAGCACCAGGGAATACAAAGGACCCACCAGGGCCCCAACGGAAGGCCTGAACACCCAGCTCAGCCTCTGCCCCAGCCCCTCTGGGGAAAGGAATGAGGTTGCCCCTGCGGCTGAGCTCCAGTCAGTGTGGGTGGTATCTCAGGGAATGCCCGTCCAGGGGTTCATTTGGGTCAGCTCAGCTCTCTGCCCAAGTATATCAGCTGCTTCCTCTGGGACTCTGTGGGACTTGCTCAGGATCATCCCAGTCCTCCTACACTGCTTAGTGTTCCTGAGTCCTGACCATCAGTAGTAATAGTAATGGTAAAAAAAAAAAAGAGCCGAAGCAGCCTGCACTTCCTGAGCCCTTGCCATGTACGTCCCAGGCGCTGTGTAAAGCCCTACACATGTATTCCTTCATGAAATTCTCTCAATGACCTGAAGGGGAGGGGACCATCCCCTCCGTTTTGCAGATGGTAAAACAGTCTCAGAGAGGTTAAACATCAGCCCAGTAAATGCTCTCCTGGCCAACTGTTTTCTCTAGTTCAATTTCTTTCTTTCTCTTTTTTTGAGATGGTGTCTGGCTCTGTGGCCAAGGCCGGAGTGCAGTGGTACGACCTCGGCTCACTGCAGCCTCAACCTCCAGGGGTCGAGCAATCCTCCCACCTCAGCCTCCTGAGTAACTGGGATTACAGGCATGCACTACCCTGCCCAGCTGGTTTTTGGATTTTTAGTAGAGACGGGGTTTCACCATGTCGGCCAGGCTGGTCTTGAACTCCTGATCTCAGGTGATCCGCCCACCTCAGCTTCCCAAAGTGCTGAGATTACACGCGTGAACCACCACACCTGGCCCAGTTCACTATTTTCTTGTCAAAAGTAACCAAGTTGCCTAAATTCTTGTCTCCACTTTCAGCTGGGCAACTGGCCTGAGCAGCTGAAACCCTTAGATCTGGAGAGGGAGAGGCTGCTGAGTCTGCTCAGTGACGTGACAGCAGTGGATCCAAAATACCAATCTGGAGCTCAGGCAGGCCTAGATTCACTCCTGTGCAATTCTGAATACATTCCTTGAGTCCTCTGAGCCTCAATTTTCATCTGAAAAATGGAGCAAATAGAATAATAGAATTGAAAACCCAAACTCGGTAGAGTGCTAGGACAGTGCCGGTCACATAGTATGGGCCGTGGAACTAGCAGGTGCCGTCATTGCCTTTTGCACAAAGGATGTACGCAGAAGGTGGCGAGCGTCCAGCCATGGGGCCGTGACCAGGTGTGAGGGAACAGAAGGAACAGCCTCTCTGGATGGAGTCTGTCTACCTTCTCGCCCTGACCGTTTCTGTGTCACTCCCCATGTATTTCAGGTCATAGCAGCGTACCCTTTTGTGGCCAGAAGCAGCCATGAAGTCAGTCTGCAGGCAGGCCAGCCCGTGACCGTCCTGGAGGCCCAGGACAAGAAGGGGAACCCGGAGTGGAGCCTGGTGGAAGTGAATGGACGGAGGGGTTATGTGCCTTCTGGCTTCCTGGCCAGGGCCCCAAGCCCAGTTTTGTGGGGCTGGAACCTGCCCTCTTAGGGTACCCTCCGGGGAGCCCACATTGCCAAGTGATGGGGGAGGCTTAGAGGCGGTGACCCCGGAGGGAGAAGAAGTCAAGGAAAGGTGGGTGTGGGAGGGAAGACCAGGCCAGGATGGGTGAAGGGCACTCAGGAGGCCGCCAGAAGACGTGGGCGGGCCTCACAGAGGTGTGGCGGGGGCACAGGAGGCTCCAGCCAGGACGGCTCGTTATGTCTGCGTAAGGAACTCATTCCGACCTAGACTCACAGTGCACTTGGACGCAGGTCACAGCTGATTGGCCAGGTCTCGCCATCGCTTATGGGCAGTCTTACCTGTGTCTCCATCCAGGACTGCCTGTGGCGGGGGTCGCCTAGGAGAATGCTACCTGCATGCTGTGTGGTTGCAGGAAGTGGGTGCTGGAGAAGCCAGAACTGCCTGGTCTGATGGTTCGCTACCTACAAATGGTATCAGGAGACATCTTAACCAACGAGTCAGCACGGTTGTGCTGAAAATGACGTGAGGCTAAGGATGCAGAGCTCCCTGTGAGCTGTGATATGTGATGCAAATGTAAATGATGGCAGTGATCTTGGGTTGGCCCCAGCCATGCAGCCCTCCGCAATGCCCGTGCCCATGGCAGCAAACCTCGTTCATCAGCCTGGCTTCCTTTCCCGTAACCCAGGATCTGCCGTGGGGGTCTTCTCAGTACTGCATTCTATGTAGCCAGCCTCTTCGACTTGGTAAGTGAGCCACCCACTTCTAGAACCTGGAAATTGGAGCCCCTCAAAAACAGTTCCTGTTCAAGGAGGACGGACCCGCTGGGGCAATGATGGGTGCAGTCATTGCTTGGGGTTGCCCTGTCTAGGCTGTTGCTCTGGGCAATGATAAATTGCAAGATTCCCAGAAATGGGAAAAGGTGACCCAGTGTGATCTTACACAACTTACAAAGTTTGTAACCAACCCCAGTTAGAACGTGTGTCAAACAGGAGATAGTTTAGATATATTTCTAAGATATGTCTATGTTATAAACATAGTGCCTAAGCAGTGAGCTCTGGTTTTTGAAGGGCTTTTAAGAAATATATACATGTCTGTGTCAGACAGTCTGTAAGTTGCATCCTCTGGGCCTGTCAAAGCATGAAGACTGCAGAATACAAGAGAAACACAACCCCTACAGTTCCTTTCTCAGTAGCAAATTCACTTTATAGGATGCTCTTGACTCATTCTCTCTGCTCTTTCCTGCTCAGATTTCTGATAAAAATAAGAAGCATAGGGAAACAGATAATGAAATAGGAAACCCACTCGTGGGTTCCACAGATATTTACTGCAGGCCTACTGTGTGCTAGAATTGTAGCTCAGGGGTTCTCAGTGTAGCTGCTCAGTGAAGTTACCATGGCAGCTTTCAACTAGCAGAAGCTAGGCTCCCTCTCACCTGGAGATTCTGATGAAATCGGTTTAGGGTGTTGTTCAGGCCTCAGGAAATCAGAAAGCTTCCCAGGGCCTTCTAATATGCAGCCAGGGCTGGGGACCTCTACCCTAGACACACAGTATTGGACAGCTGGATCTGGGGCCAGAGATGGCCATGAGCTATAAGCTAGGATGTGCCCCAACTCAGCTCTGCACTAGCTAGTTCAAACCGGCGCTTTAGAGGCAGTGTGAAATGGGACAGCCTGTCTGTCAGGTCTCAGAATGTATATTTATTAAGTGCCATTAAAAGGGACCTGAACAAAATTGGATGTCTTGTAGGCATAAGGAAGGAAAATAAAATATACTTGGAACCAACTCTATCTGATGAAGGGAAAATAAAAACAGTATTGAGTAGCATGTGGGTTCTGGTTTCTCATAGACCAGGGTATGAGAGTAAAAGTCACTGAAGTGTGGGAAAATGCATATTGAGAAGATGGAGAATGGCCTGTATTTTCTCTAGGGGAATCTGTGTAATGTGACTTTTCCCTCTCCAAATGCCTAGAACCATGGCACTGTGTCTTATTGATTTCACTGTTGGGGTATCACATACTAAACTTGCAAAGATATTTGCCTGTGAACTGAACAAGACCTCCAGGGGTTCAAGTCTGGTTCACAAGGGTACCTCTTGCTTCCCGTAATGGAGTGAGAACTCTTAAACACTTTGGTGTCGAACAAATAGAATACTTACATGTTATTGGCAGGAGTATAAAATAGTACAACTACTTTAGAAAAAGACTTGGTAGTTTCATTATGTTCTTCATCAACTACCTTGTAACCTAGCAAATCTCCAATAAAAATGAATATTTGTATTCACAAAAACTTGTAAAAAAACAAACAAACAAAAACACCTTGGGCCCCAACTCAATGTGGACATGGGGACAAGATTACAATATCAGTTGGGCGTGGTGGCTCACGCCAGTAATCCCAGCACTTTTGGAGGCCAAGGTGGGCAGATCATGAGGTCAAGAGGTCGAGACCATCCTGGCCAACATGGTGAAACCCCTCTCTACTAAAAATACAAAAATTAGCTGGGCATGGTGGCGCGTGCTTGTAGTTCCAGTTACTCAGGAGTCTGAGGCAGGAGAATTGCTTGAACCCGGGAGGCAGAGGTTGCAGTGAGCCAAGTTCGCGCCACTGCACTCCAGCCTGGTGCCTGGCGACAGAGTGAGACTCTGTCTCAAAAAAAAAAGATTACAGTATCAAAAGAAAGATGAATGAATTCTTGGTTAATATGATGAGCACTAGCCCGATGAGTAACGGATGTAAACTGCTGGGAATAAAGGACTTAAAAGATGGAAATGTCTCTGGAGTTTGTGTGAATCTAACCATTGAGTAGCCAGATACCCCGCTGTGCCATTTCTTTGCTAGAAACTTGCTGTATATGAAAATGACATCTTTACAACTGTAATCCCAGCATTATGGCAGGCCGAGGTGGACGGATCACGAGGTCAAGAGATTAAGACCATCCTGGCCAACATGGTGAAACCCCATCTCTACTAAAAATACAAAAATTAACCAGGCATGGTGGTGGGTGCCTATAGTTCCAACTACTTAGGAGTCTGAGGCAGGAGAATCACTTGAACCCGGGAGGTGGATGTTGCAGTGAGCAGAGATCGTGCCACTGCGCTCTAGCCTGGCAACAGAGCGAGATTCCATCTAAAACAAACAAACAAAAATCTTGTTTGGTCAGGTCCATTTAATGGACACCCTTCATGCCTCAAGGAGCTGGCCTGAGCTACTGGGGATGCAGAAAGAAATCAGACACATGAGGCCCCATCTTCCCGATCCCAGTCTCTAAGGGAGATAGATGAGGCAACCGTCAGTTACAAGCTATGTGTCAAGATGAAGTAATGGCAGGTGCCACACAAGTCCAGGGAAGAGGACCTACCTCTGACTCAGACTTGGTGGCCAAGGAAGGTTTCCTGGAAGAGGTGATATCCAAGCTGAGGCTCAATGGGCGGTTAGATGGCAGAGAGAGCACATTTGGAGGCCCAGAGGTGGCAGCAAGCTATGGCATTTTATTCTGAGGGCAGTGGGGAGGCATGAAGGGGTTTGAAGCAGAGGAATAATGTGCTCAGGGCTGTGCTTTGGGAAGATCACTGGGCTCTGACTGTGTGCCTCTGGTGTCCACAGGCCACTGTATGCTCCATGAGGCTGAGAAGCTCCTGATTCATCCCAGAATCTCCCTAAGCCTTTGTCATATGCCTCAAGTACTAGATGTTCAATACATCCCAGAGAAGATGGGAATACCAAAGCCCTGCCTTCAAGGACTTTCCTGATGGCTGGAGAGTCAGACATTAAGCAGTTATCTGGCCCTACAGAAAAGGATGCCCTCAGCCCCAGAGAGGTGCTATGGACCAGGCATATAGGTGCTCAGACGAGGGAGAGGTTTGGGAAGGCTGAGGTAGTCAGGGCCACTTTCCTGGGGAAGGTGGGGCAGGTGCTGGGCCTTGTGAGATATGTAAGATTGGAGGAAGCAATTGTGCAGAGCACGGCAGGCTGACGCCTGTAATCTCAGCACTTTGAGAGGCCAGGGCGGGTGGATCACTTGAGGTCAGGAGTTAGAGATTAGCATGGCCAAGCTGGTGAAACCCCATCTCTACTAAAAATGAAAAAAAAAAAAAAAAAAAAAAAAAAAAAAAAAAAAAAAAAAGGAGGCAGGCATGGTGGCGTGCACCTGTAATGCCAGCTGCTTGGGAGGCTGAGACATTGCTTGAACCTGGGAGGCAGAGGGTGCAGTGAGCTGAGATCACCACGCCATTGCATGCCAGCCTCGGCGATGAAGCAAGACTCTTGTCTCAAAAAAATAAAAATAAAGATAAAGCAATCCTACGGGAATGCTGTGTCCTCTACGGGATGGAGGTCTTCTCAGGCCTGAGAGGCTGCGTGGTGGCATGAAAAGGCCCAGCACTTAGCCTTAGAAAATCTAAGCAGGCTTGGGGCCTCATGCCGGCAGTCCCAGCTACCCAAGAGGATTTCTTGAGCCTAGGAGGTTGAGGCTGCCGTGAGCCATGATTGCGCCACCTACACTCCAGCCTGGGTGACAGAGCGAGACCTTGTTTAAAAAAAAAAAGGAAGAAAAAGAAAAAAATCGGAGTCCGAGACCTACTTGGCCATAGGCAAGCAGCACATGTCTTGACTGTGGCTGGATCGTGGTTTCTATGAATGAAGACACCTGATGACGGCTTCCAGCCTGCTCTGTCTTCCCCTCTCCCACTCAGAAGTACTCACTGTGGAGTTCTGGTCCATCTCAAGGGATCCCTGGCCCCCTCCACCAGGACTTAATTTCTAACATGAAAGAGTCATTTTAAGGCCTGTTGTGGCAGGACAGAGCCTAAAATACCCTGGGCTGGGGTGAAGGAAAGAGCCGGATTCCCCTCTAGCAACATCATGGGAGTTGGGATCCCAACGATGTATTCACTTAACCTTGCTCATTTGTTTCTTTCTTACAGATAAGTTTCCAAATTACCTTTTCTGTTTTCTCCTCTGTAAAATGGGTACAATAATTCCTGTTCTCCCAGGGCTGGTAAGAGGATTACATGAGAGACTGGTGGGTGCCTGGTGGTAGACATATCAGGAATATCACAGATGTGCATTGATGGCACAGGAGAACTGTGACCACCAGGTGGCAGCAGGGATCTTCCAATCAGCTAAGGGAAGGCTGGGAAGGGCCTTTGGGATCAATCCGAAATGCCCATGGTGCCAGGCTGTTAGTGGAGATGAGAAGAAGGGCCAAGTGAAAGGCATTAGGGGGTGGTGGGGACTGTGGTGACCAGGGCATGCACACTCATTCTAAAGAGCTGTAGCTTCTTGGTTCCAAACAACTGCTCCCACATCAGAAGGAGGGCATCGTGGTATCATTCTGATGTTTCAAGAGAAGCCGCCAGGTACCAGAGGTTTTTTTGTCTATGTATTTGATCATATATATATTTTTTGAGATGAAGTCTCGCTCTGTCTTGCCCAAGTTGGAGTGCAGTGGCATTATTTCGGCTCACTGCAGCCTCCGCTTCCGGGTTCAAGCAATTCTCCTGTCTCAGCCTCCCGAATAGCTGGGATTACAGGCATGTGCCACCACACTCAGCTAATTTTGTATTTTAACTAGAGATAGGGTTTCACCGTGTGGGTCAGGCTGGTCTCGAACTCCTGACCTCAGGTGATCCACTCTCCTCAGCCTCACAAAGTGCTGGAAATACAAGCGTGAGCCCCCGTGCCCGGCCTATTCTTATTTTTTGATGTGACATCTTCTATGTGGAGATTGTGTGGTCCACAACAGTTTGCCTCTTTGCATATTCTACCTGAATGTGGGTTGAATGCTTTGGGTGAAGATCTTGTCTGAAGAATTACTTTCATGTCTTTGTATTTCCTGTGAAATTTCTTTCTGTGTCCTCACTTGACTCCTCCCTTCATGGGACATTAATTCGCGTCCTAAGATCTTTGAGAAACATTGCTTTGTTTGTTATAATTGTTATTATTGCTGTTATTGTCTTCCAATTTTTATTGTTGGTCATATCGTCTGCCCCACTAGACAGGTTCCCCATAATACCTAGCATACAAAGTTGTTTGGAGAATTAAATGAAATGCTGATATAAATCACTTAGCCAAGCACCCAGTTCATTAGTGCTCAATAAACATGCTTGTCATTATTATGGGGTCTTCAGAGGAATTACATGATGTTTAGAGGAAGGTTTGCAGGGCCTGTCTACCTCCCTCTATGAGGCCACTCTCCTACATAGAAGAAGGCCCCTGATACTGGGTCCTGAGGTCTTAGCTGGGGTTGGGCACAGCTCTTCACTCAAGTGCTGCTGTCACACCCCACAGGCATTCCTGAGGCTTTCCTTCCTCCCCCATCCCCGGTGCTGCCAGGCTGGGGCAGTGCTCATGGGCACAAACACCCCAGGCTCTCTCCTGCCTCTCTCCAGCCATGGCGTTCTGACGTCCACTGCATCTGTACAAGGACAAGCTCGGCAGGTGATGACCTACCAGGCCATAAGCAGGCACCCTGGATACTGATGGAGCAGTTCCTCTGGCCATAGGCTTAGGGCACTTTGCAGCCAGGAGCATCCTTTCCGGCGTTTCCAGGGGATGCAGCAGCTTTGGGGCCCAAGAGTCTGCTGGAGGCTTCAGGAGAAGCTTAGGGAGTGAAAAGAAGTGGGGACCAGGCGTGTCCTCATAGAGGGTCACTTATGGCTGGGCTCAGGAGCACTAGCTGCTGGCATTCAGTTGATCCTGGAGGTCTCAGGCAGCTGCCTATTTCTAGGACATTCCGGGTTGCTTCTGGGTTCCCCATCTTGGGCTTGTCTGCCTGTCATATCCTCCAGGGTCTGGATGTCCTCAGGGCCTATGAGTGGAAACTGAGT